ACATGAACTAGGATCATGCATTGATTACTTACTAGTTTCTGTTTTGGCTTGGAGTACTCGGTGAGTGTTTATGCTTTAGCCTTGCACGTGTGTGAGTGTTGCCATGATAGCAATTTGCCATGAGGCTAACTGCTTATGTGATATAATTGCCTGATCGCCTGTGGGTGAAAGTTGGATTACTTGAATTGGAACAATTCATTGATTGCGAGTTTTCAAGCCCACTTGAGAGTGGCAAATCACCATGTTTTCTAAGCCCACTTGAGGGTGGAAAAATTCACATTTTAGCCTACTTGCGAGTAGCAAACCGCTTTAAAAAACAAACATGAGATATTTTGTTCCAACTTAGGCGATCCAGTCTATACTTGTATGCTGTGCGCATCACATAGTAATTCTAGGTTAATAACCGGAATAAGAGCACATGTGTTTTCAAAAACAAGATATCATGTTTAGTAGTGGCCGGTCTTTGATCGGGCGAGCGGGAGTGCTCATTGCATGACCTTCCCTTCTCGTACCCAAGATCCCGAGCTGAGGCAACTTTGGTGATGACGGACACGTGGCCTTAGGCACGAGTCAGGGTTTCCTAAATTTTCTCAAAATAAAATATTTAGGTGGTGAGTCTGTATATGGCAAAGCAGTCTATGTTTGGTACTTCTTTCTAAAAATCAGTTTTTCAAAACGATTTGCCGGATTTGGACTCTTTGGTAATTTATCGATCTTGCATTGCACTTTGTGAGATTAGATTCAGAACCGTGACATTGAGTCCGAACTGTAGTGAGCCCCAATGAACAAAACGGGAGACGTTCGGGCGCGTCTACAGTCATTTATCCCGTCAGAGATGTAATCTAATTCTGTCACATTGGCTTGATTGGTGGTCTTCTTACTTGTGCTTTCGCGATCTTTCTTAGGGCAGCGGCAATCAGAAGCTTGATGTCCAGTCTTGCCACAGTTATAGCATTTTCCTTTGAATTTCTTATTGCCATTGTTGTTGCCTTGTTTAGAACCATCTCCAGTAAACTTCCTCTTTTTATTATGTGGTTTGTGAACTTGTTCAACTACATTAGCCTTGGACTCAATAGGATTTTTCTCATTTCTCTTTTCAGCCTTTTGGTTATCTTCCTCAATTCTCAATCTTGCAATCACTTCATCCATGGTCATCTCCTTACGTTTATGTTTTAAATAATTTTTGAAATCTTTCCAAGTCGGTGGTAACTTTTCCACTAAAGCTGCGACTTGGAAAGACTCGCTAAGAGACACACCTTCAGAATGAATATCATGCAAAATTATCTGAAAATTTTGAACTTGAAAAATTACCGTTCGAGAGTCTACCATAATGAAGTCTAGAAATTTACCGACAACAAATTTCTTTGTGCCGGCATCCCCTTTCTTGTATTTTTTCTCCAAAGAATCTCATAATTCTTTTGTTGTTTTCAGAGGGCTGTAAACATTATACAGCATGTTGTGAGGCCGTTGAGGATGTAGTTTCTGCACAGGAAATCTGAATGTTTCCAAGCATCTACAGCGGCAACAACTTGTCGATCACTTTCACCCTTTTTAAGTGTTGGAGCCTCTTCACGAAAAAATCGGGTCAAATTTAGAATTGTAAGATAGAACAGCATTTTCTGCTGCCATTTCTTAAACTCAGTGCTATTAAATTTTTTCCGTTTTTCTCTATGATTTATCGGAACTTGAACATGGTTCTGGATAGGGACCGGAGTCGTTATAACGATCGGATTTGGAGTACTACTTTCAGCAGCCATTATATCTTATTACAAAAATTAGAAAAAAATCAAAACACAAATTAATTTTCTAGTTACTAAAACCAGAAAATAAATTATAACACAAAATAATTTTATTTTTCTTGTTACTAAAATTAGAAAAACAAAATACCACAATAATTTTTTGTAACACAAATTAATATTCTACAATTGTTAATGACAGCAGTATATTACTACTAGTTGTCAAAGAAAATAAACAGTATATTATTACTATTGATTTTCCAACTAGAATATCACTTTGTGAAAACACAGAAAAATAAATACAATGAAAACACCAAAAAATAATATGTCTTAAGATTGTTGGACAATCTTCACTGTATTTAATAAATTTTTCCTCTCCACGGTGCTTTCAGAATATGGACGTCTATCTCCCAGGATAAAATGATCAATCAATGAAAAATAGCAACACTACAAATTTTTCGTACAACGAACACACTAAGTGTTTATACTCTTTCTCACAAAAATTTAGATGCAGCAAAATGCAGAGAGCAGTAGCATATTGAAAATTGGAGTGAATATCCAAATGAGGGATTGCTTATTTATATAGGTGAAGTGGTGGCTGCTAGTTTTGAATTAAACAGGTACAGTACCTGTTCAATTTAAATTAAACAGATACAAATCTGTAGGCACTGTTTGGTTTGAATTTCAAACAATTCAAAAACCTATTTTGGATGGATTTGAATTTGAACAGATTCGGTTCGGACATATCCGAAACTGTACAAAATTTTTGAAGAGATGCAAACCAAAATTTGAATTTTATTTCCAACTAGAATTTGAAATAAAAAAAAAGGACAGATTTTATTTCTAAATAAATAAAATAAAATTCAAATGTTTTTGGCTAGACAAGCCTAACCCATTCTCACATCACGCACCCGCGCCCAAGCCCAACCCGCTCGCGTAAGTGGTTATTTTTGAGTCCAATGGGTCTAGCCCAATTTGCCCATAACCTCTTCCTTCTACAAACTTGAGGTGCCCCTTGAGGCCCTCCCCAAGTTATAATTCCAAGCCTTATAAACCTACTCAATGTTTCCCACCAAATCAATGTGGGACAAGCCATTTTCCAAATATTAAGGAATTTTCACCAAAAATTCCATTTCCACGGAGCTCACTTTGACTTCAATTTTCCGTTCACCCTATAATGGTTTTGAGCAACCAAATATACCACGTGAATCACAACGCGGCATAGAACGCGTTACCACTTAGACCCGCAAAATTCAACGCATGGGTCCTACCTAAAAATTAGGCCAAACTTTAGGAAAAAAAACTATTTTTTGAGATTTTCTCAAAATCATTTCTAACAAAAACATGCCTCATAACCAAAAAGGCAAGACATCCACACTACAAATCTGTCTTCTACTAGGACTTAGACAATCATCTACATGGAACCTCGACTAACAACCAAGCCACATGGACAACTCAAAAATTATGTCTTTACAATTTCCTATTTAATATAAATATTCTTTTAAAGATCTTCCAGAAGTCTTTCAAAAATATAAAAACAAATTTATAAAATAAAAAAAAAGGTATAACATTTTAATGTTTAAACAAAAAACACATAAAGAGAAAAAATGACAACAATTGTAATAAAAAATATAAAGAGATGCATTCTTTGTTCCCAAAAGAATAATCATTGATCCTAATGGTTTATGAACAGTAGCGCAGCGAGAAAATTAAAATAGAATGGACATTTATTAGTTATAATTATAATTATAATTTTTTTTTTCATAACCAACAATAAGAAGATAATAATAATTTGTGAATTAATGTTAAGCACAAAAACTTAAATAAATTATTACAAAAGTATTTCACATAAAATTTTACAATTAACTTTGAGTATAATCAAAAAGAAAGTATTGTGTACAACTAGTATATCATGGACAATATAAAAAAGTTATATATGTAAGTCTTAAAATAAATTATATAATGGTAATTAAATTTTTACAAAATTTAAATAAAAATTTCATATAATACTGATGTCACGTTATTATTGACATATGATATTATAAATCAATAGTAAAGTAACATATGAAAAGTGAACTCCACTTGCAAATATAACTAACACTCTAATAACTTTTACATGTATATAGTGAGATTAATTATATTTACATATTAATAATGATAAATAGTACATTTATATTGAGATTTTTTCACAAAATTTTCATACACACAAATATAAGTTGTTGTAGTCTCTTCATTTTCAATAAAACAACACTATTGTTCTCATAAATTTAGAAATGCCCTTCACATTTTATTCTAAATATGATTTTTATTTAAAATTTTATTTCTATACATATTCTAAAAATAAATAAAAAATTGTAAATCAAAAACCCGGAGGCACGTGACCCCCCCCCCGGGCCTCCAAGTGGCTCTGCCACTGCTTATGAACATTCCAAGGTTAATTTATGACCTATTTCTCTTAAAAATATGATAAATTATATAATTATGATTACCAAATTAAATTTATTTATTTAATTTTTTTTTTTTATGAACAATCTACGTAAGGACTTGTAAAATAAACAAAAAAAAAATTAGAGAGAAATAGAAAAAGAAAGAGAGAGATAGAGATGGAGATAGGGTTAAGCAAAGAGATAGAAAGGAGACTTTGTAAAAGAAATGGAAGGCAGAAATGATTTATTTTCTATTTTGCCCATAAATAAATGGGGTGTGACGCATATATGCTAAATTTTCATTAAAAATTCTAATAGATATTATAAAATTGAACTAAGGAGACATAATGTGTAAAATTAAAAGACAATTTTGTTGAAGTTGGAATTATAGGATTAAATTAATACACAATTTAAAATGCATAGCATCTCCAATGCACTAGGCATATAATACTTGTTAGTTAAAATGCCTAGTGTGATTCACTTTTTTCAATTCCAATGCACTAGGCATATGATTAGGCATTTTGGCTCAATTCATATTCACTAGCTACATGTAGCTAGCCTTCAACACTAGGCAAAATGTATTCAATCATTATGATCATTTCCCTCCATCTTTGTTGTTGACGTGTCATTCTATAAAATTAATAGTATTTGGATAAATAGCTAAAATAAAGAGCATGGTTGGAGTAAAAACATAAAACAGTTGATAGGCAAAATAAAATATATACTTTATAGAAATATTTAGATAGGTAAAATGCCTACTACCGTTGGAGATGCTCTTACTTCTGTCATTTTTAATACAATTAAAGCATATAAACTTCAATTACATTCGACCCAATATCATAAATGGAATCAACTTATCTCCATTGTTATTGTTTTATTTGGATTTCAATTTTGAATCAATCAATTCCAAATCAAAAGTGAGAAAAATATGAAAGTAAAAGAATTAATAAAAGAAAAATTGCCAAAAGAAATCAAATAATTTCGACCATGGAAGATTCCAAAAATATCTCCCTCACAGACCCGGTTTGTAGCTAACGCCCGTAGATGGTAACCACTTGTCCCCATTGATAAACGACATAACTGTAAATGTATTGGCTTGTTTGTTAGTAATCTTTCTCAATCCCTTCCATGCTACCCTATTTTTGGTTGAAGAACTAGAACCAATATTTTGGAACTCAGCATAGAATATAGTATTCGGCGCAGAATCTCCTATCCAAGGTAACCATCCTTTTGGATCAATCAAGCTTCCCATCATGGACTGCATGTATACTGTGGTGGAGTAATTTTTCCAAGGCCGACCTAGGAAGGTCTGGACGGAACTCAGGTTGCCCCAAGGCGAAATGGTACAATTTTGTATGGAAATTCCGGTGTTCTGATTTGGATCAATCTTTCCTTGTGCTGTGATGGTGTTCTGTTGGCCAAGCATGGGTTCTCTGGGTAGTATTTTGCAATTTTGGATAATGACGGCTGAGTTTCCGAATATGAAATCAACTGTCCCATATATACTGCATTCACGATAGAATTGGCGATTGGAATGTGCATAGAGGGTGTCTTGGAAAGCATCAATGCGACATCGATAGAATACTGATTGGTCAGAAGATGACATCAGGGCAACTGCCTGATGTTTGATTGCACCCGCTGTGTTACGAAATCCCATATCTCTTGCAATAAAGCCCTTCCCAAACACAGCTACATTCAGAGAAATCTAAATGAATAAATTATGAGCCATCAAGCTTTTAACTTCAAATGAATAGATCTAAATGAGACACATCATTTCATATAAACTTTTCTATGTACAAATTAAGTAATGCGATACATAATTCTATTTCTCAGCTCATTTTCTCACTCCTAAATACAAAATAATAGGGCTCACATTCATAATATGCATATGGGAATCATTCACTTGTGTTTTGGAGTGAAAAAACATCGTAAGAAATAAAATTATATGTAACATTTTCTATACAAATTTTATTTGTATAGCATTAGTATGTATACACAATCTTATTTCTTACTCCTAAATACATGGCAAACGGACCCATGTTAATAAACGCAAGCAGCATCCACAGTCTGGTATCTAGAAGTGAGGAAATGCAGTAAGAAATTGAATTGCTTTTAGCATTTTGCAAAAGAATTTTATTTTAACTGCCTGAAAATGGATATATACTAGTGAAATTCATGTAGACTTTTTGTGAGATAAATAAATGCAGAAGATTTACCAAATGTTGCAGTTTCAAATGTTGGAGTTCCGTCAACAAAGTTCAAACTGCCAGATACGACTGTTGCATCCATTCCATCACCAACCATCATGACGTTCCACATGGACTTGTCAATCCTAACAATTTCATTATAAACCCCCTTCTTCACATAGATAACGAACCTTTTCTTGCTCTTATCAGGGACAGCCTTTAGTGCAGCATTGATTGTCTTGTATTTTCCCGATCCATCCATCGCCACAACAGCATTGGCCTTGATTTTTGAAGTCATCGTACTCTGGAGTAGTCTCCGATCTTTGGAAGACAACCATCGTGGCATGTCATCACCACCATCGGTCAAGGTCATTAAGCGTCGTCTCAATTTGAAAGAATTTGCAAGATTGGAGAATTCATTGATGATAGCCAAGCTATTGCTGGTGAACTCAGTTGAGTTCTGAAGATACTTGATAGCGTCAGACTTTAACGTTTCTGCCACATCAGCAAAACCATCAATACATGTTTGTTGGTAAGTTCCAGCAGAACTTAGCCATGTTTTTAGATCGTCGAAAGCATCATGTAATGTGATTGTTGTGAGGTCAGCAGTGGACAAATATGAAGTATTAAGATGATCGAACGTGAGACCCAAAAGTTCGCGACAGCTTTCAAGAGCTGCTAGTGACATGTTATCGGTGAGACCTTCAAATACACCATTTTGGGAGAAGTACTGGGAAGCTCTTGAAAGTTCATTGATAGCCGCATAAATAGATAGCTTGAAGAGGTCTTCAGGCTGAACATGGGTTGAGTTAACCAGAGGTTTAAGGCTTGTGAAACATGAGTCAGGGTACAAAGTAACATCGCATACCGCTTTGACTGAAGTAGACATGGATTGAGTTGGATTGCCTGCAGTAGAGTTGCCATTTTTGGATCTTCCTGCACAAGTACCGACTACAGAACCCACAATAACTCCGACGAGGATGATGGAAGATAAGGCAATGATGGTAAGTCGCTTCCTGGTTTGTCGTCGAGCCTCCAGCCTCGCTTGATCGAATTCGTCCACTTTGCCGTAGGCCCTGAGAGAAGCCATGCTCCTTCTCACTTCTCTTTGCTTTGCTATGCTAATATGTTATGCTATGCTCTTGGGTGATTGCTTGGTGAATGTATAATATGATTATATAAGGCATAGTTATATTAGTATATATGTAGGAGAGGCAGGACTTGTGGTTTGTAATCTAACGTGGAATTACGTGCGAGGCAGTTTCCACCGGTACCATGGTGATGATTTATTACATTATTCATCAATGTACAACTTGAGGAGTGCTCCTCATGTTCAACTAATTAGACCAAATCCAATGAAGCACTTTTTGATACCTAATAATTTAGGGAGGACAAAAAAAAACAAACAAACAAACATTAAAATTAGAAATACTATGTACCTAAAAAAGATTAATCATAATTTGAAGATTAGTTATATATAGATAAATAAAAAAATATACACAAATGCTATTCAAAATATTGTGGTAGCCTAGAGTCCTATCAATTTAAAAATAAAAGCTTATAAATTTTTTAAGAATGTCACTCATTTTATTTTAGTAAGAAATTTTTTGTATTTGCATTCTAAAAACTGCATATAACAGAATCTATTGTGATTGAGTTCTCTCAAGTCGAGATATCAACTGGAGTATGTTGTTTGGATCAATGAGGCCTACTATAGATTATATTTCTATTATTTAAATCGTTCATTTTATAGAATAATATATATATATATATATATCATAAATGAGAAATATTATTAAGCAGATCTAATAATTAGTCTTTTTATTTTATGGTGTTTTTTCATTAAAAAAAATGGATGAAAAATATTTTTTTGAAAATAGACTGTCTATTTTTTTAAGACAAATACAATAAAATCATAGGAAAATTTATTAGAAAATTTTCTTTCAAATATTTGTTTTCCAATTAGTCCATAAAATATTCTTTTATTCCAATAAGTCATATTATTTTAGACATTTGACTCACTAAATCCTAATTCTTATATTTAAGATATTGTATGGATAATTTTACCCTTACAAACATTACAAGAAGTTGCACTTTTGGCGACTACGTCAATTTTTCGTAGCCAAAAGTATATTTTTGGCGACACAGTGATCAATTTCGGTTGGAAAAGTAGACATTTACCAACACAATTTACTATCGTCGCTAAAAAAGCATAACATTGACTAGGTGCCAAAAATATTGGTTGGCGCCAAAATTTCATAAATTTTAGCTACAAGGCTTATTTTTTTGCAACGCAATAAGCGTCGCTATTAATGTGCTTACTTTTGGCGACGACAAGTTGGCATGGGCAAAGAGTTAAACATTTAATTTGTAATAGTAGTGCCTGAGGGATTACTTTACAAAAGAAATATTATATATGAATGGATTTTTCACTTAATCTTTTTTATCACTCAACTCAACACAAGACACAAGTCCAATTACATTTATTAATGTGAAATTATTTTTGTGTCTAATAATAAAAAAGCGAGGAGAAAAAAGGGTGGTGAAAATTTAGAGTCTTTGTGTAAGGAAAAGATGTAGTCCTTATGGAGCATGGAAGAAATGGTGGTTGGATCCCGGTGGTGAATCAAAGGCGAGGAGGTGGATCTCGGGGCTATGAAGAAAGGAGTGGTCTGTTTACTGTGTTCGTGGACAATATCCCAAGTTCTTTGGCTGCAAAGTCACTGTTTGAACCCTTCAAAAAGTTTGGTGTAGTCAAAGATGTATTCATCCCCTTCAAAAGAACAAAAGTGACGAACTCAAGATTCAGATTTTTGCGATTCAACTGTCATGTTGCATCAGGCATGGCAATCCAGAAAGCTAATGGACTTTTGGTGGATGATAAGGTACTTGCAGTCAAGTATGCAACTCATGACAAGAGCGTGCTCAGCATGAGAAGGCCCCAGGCCAACAGAGAAGCCTTTAACCCAAACAGAGGTAAAGGTACAATCCCATGTATTGGCCACAAATCATTTGCAGAGGTACTACAAGGGGCCATGACCATGGCGGTTGTCAAAGCTAGCATGACCATCAAAGCCAATGAAGATGGTCACGGTTGGCTTTACGAAAGCGTTATTATTAGGCTCAACTCGGATTTCTCCATTAACAGTATCAAATCTGCCTTGAAGGATAATGGATTAGCTCAAGTGGTGGTCAGACAGGGGGGCGACAGGGATGTAATCTTGACTTTCAAATCCCAAGAGGAGCTCCAATCAAATATCTAGAAGATTAAGGACTAGTTTAAAGACTGGAGTCAGGTTGTTTTGGAATGGAGGCTAGGAGTCCAAATAGACCAAGAGAGATGTGTTTGGTTGAAATGCCATGGTATTCCTCTGAACCTCTGGAATAGGAACACTCTAAACAACATTGGAGCTTTGTGGGGGACAGTCCTTCAATTGGAGGGTGATCTTAGTCAACCAAAGTCATTCTCTTACTCCAGAATTAAAGTGGTTACAACATGCATGGAGCTTATCAACAAAACCATAAATCTGGAATGCAAGGGTAAATTACACCCAGTTTTTGTTTGTGAAGATCATTCTGTCAATCCAGTGGAGTGTAATGGGATGAGAAACATTGGGCTGAGAGAGTGCAATAGCAGCTCCAATGTGGAGTTAAGCAGTGCTGCGGAAAATGACTTCATAGACAGGGGTTGCAAGAGGAAAGATGATGTTGATTCAGTGGCAAAACAGCATGACTTGTCTGTTGTTGCAATGCCTTCTTCCATTGATGTGGCACAAAGGAATGAGCTTTCTCAATGCAACAGTAGAGAGGCAATGGACACAGTCATTGAGGAGACAAGGTGTGATGTGGAGGTCAGTAGACCTACTGCAATAGGTGGGAAAGAAGCAATGATGAAGGAGCGTGCACCCTGCACAAAGAACAATGACCACTCACAGAGGTGTGTTGAGTAGGCTTCTGCACCTGGCTTGTTCAAAAGTATCAGCGGATCCATAGATGGGTTTGGGCCAGGTATTAATCTGGAGGTTGCATTGGGCCATCCGAACAATGAGCATATAGTACAAGGCCTTATTCCCATGCTATTTGAACAAGGTAACAGGGCATGCAATAATTCTTTATTACCTGGGCCTCACTTAGATGCTGTTTCAAATGGGTCAGGCACTATGAGTTTACATGATCAAGGCCCAGTTCGGTCTGCCAAGAAAGCTGGGAAAAATAAGGTTCAGATAGAGGGCTTTTCTCGTTTTGCTCAACTCTATGGTCTCAAATCTGCAGGTATCAGTAAGCATTCCTCCAAGTTCGTTATCTTCGGGCCAGCAACAATGGCCTGTGTACACTCTGAGCTATCCGATGGTGAATCCGATAGTGAATCTAGCTCGCATAGCTATCTCCTCAAGGAAGCGCAGGCCACTGTCAAATTAAGGAAATATCTGGGAATTAATTTCCGTGGGCAAGAAGAAGGTGTGGTGGATAAGATTCTTGAGCTGGAGCTTAAGGACAAAGAGACTTTTAAAGGATGGAAAGGCTCAGTTGTAATAGCAGTGTGTTGGGGTCTAATAGAGGGTCATTTTGTTTAACTTTCAGGGTTTGGGTTGTCAACATTGGAGCTTCTAAAGTGGGTGTGTTCGGAGTTTGGATCGGAAAAGAGGAGCTACTCCGACCATGACAGTGGAGATGGCAGTGGGTTTTGATAGCAGTGGAGATGTCGGTTGCAATGGGTGTTCGGAGCTTGTATTGGAAAAGAAGTGTTCTGACCATGGAGGTGGAGATGGGTGTTTATCTCTGCTAAGTGGGTGAGAGTTAGGCATGAGAGTGTCTGCTCTGTAGGGTGTGTTTTACTTGGGTGTGTTTTATTTGGGTGTTGTAGGGGTAATTTTGTGGGGTTTCTAGTGTTTTGTTGAGGTAAGTCCTTCTTACCTCTGTTTTTTATTTTCTTGTTTTAAAAAAAATCGCGATGTCGAGGGGTTAGCTGTATGGGTGCGAGTAGCAGTAGTTGGGGTAGTTTGTACTTTCCAAATCTCTCTCGATGCACTTCATCTTCCTGTACTCTTAATTTCATGTTGTTAATGAAATTTTTCTTTGCTAATCAATTATTAGTTTGTAATAGTAGTGCCTGAGGGATGCCTCTTGTAAATATGTACATCTTATAAAAAAATATAAATGATTTTCAATTTTTTTTGCCGCTACAAATTTGTCGTTGCCAAAAAGTAAAGCTTTCTCGACAAACAACTTGTCGGTAAATGTGTAGCCAAAAGTTTATTTTTGTCCACTCATATTGTATTGCTAAAAGTGTATTTTTTGCCAAAGCCAATTTGTCGTTGCCAAAAGTAAAGCTTTATCGACAACCAAATCGTTGGCAAATGGCAACATTTACCGACGTAAATGTGTCGCTAAAAGTTTACTTTTGCCCACTCATATTGTGTTGGTAGAAGTGTATTTTTTGCCAATGCCAATTTGTCGTTGTCAAAAGTAAAGCTTTAGCGACAAACAAATCATTGGCAAATGGCAACATTTACTGACGTAAATGTGTCGCCATAAGTTTACTTTTGCCGACACATATTTTGTTGCTAAAAGTATATTTTTTGCCTATGCAAATTTGTGTCGCGAAAAGTGTCACACAATCATCATATTTGAATGACTTTTACCGACGCAAGGTAAATTGCCGACGATGGATGAAGGCTTTTATCGACGACTATGTTCGTCGCCAAAGGCATTACTTTTACCAACGCAATGATAATTTCGTCGGCATAAACTTTTGCCGACTCACTTTTGCCTACGGGTTGCCAACGTAGCTTTGTGTGTCGGCAAAACTTTTGCCAACGAATTTTCCCTTTTAGCAACATATTTTGTTGCGTTGCGAAAAATGCAATTTCATGTAGTGAAATATGTTGTGAACCCTTAGCAACTTAGTAATGTGAACATTCATATTAAATAAATTTGACAGTGTGATGAATTGTCACGCTAACAATGTAAATGTTCATATCGCAAAACATCCATATTGACAATGTGAATATTAATGTGTGTTTCACCCTATTATTATTAGGGATATTTTTGTAATTATATTACCCATAGGACTTGTTAGAATATAAAAAAATAATTTAAACTAAATAGAATATAAATATGTAAAGAGAGATTTA